CAAAGCTGATTTTGGTAAGAGTTGAAAGGTGAGATTTTCTACGTGCACTCTAAATGCGGCACTATTGAGGGAAATCAGTACGTTTCAAGTGTGGAGGCTCGAACCCACAGCAATAATACTTTTTTTTGTGGAAAACTCTCTCTTTATTTAGACAGCTATGTGTTCAAGTAATGATTAAAACTTATGCATGCTTCAGAAGTTCTCCATCAGATCCGTGCTCACCTTGCGTTTGATTGGTGACTCATAGTATAGCAACTCATCGCCACGGCCTCCACGGTATGCGTAATGTATTATAGTTGAAGTGTTAGAAGCTGTTAGGATAGATTCTTCTTCCAGCTAATCGCATCATGCTCTTGGCTCGCTCAGTGTCTCCGATTCACAGTCTCGCAAGATTCCGATGTATCTTCATTTAAGAAAGTTACGTGACTTCTATACAGGATTTGGATTGATTTTTTATGTGGATGATTGCCTTGTGCAATTGTGATGTAATCTGATACAGGTGCTCTAGGTACAATGAAAAATCCAACTTCTCAGTATACAACTGGTAAACTATTGCAGTACATTTTAGACAAACCCTATCCATACATGGTCATCCACTCTTTGACCTTTCTCGGTCACCTTTTTTCAATTCATCAGAAATGCTGTGTTTCTGCTTCTTCCGAAGGCATAGTTTTACGCATTCATGGCAAATTCGATAGAAGTAATTTAAATATATCACTCATGTGTTAGAGACGAGGTTTATTATAGGTGAATCTGCCTGACGCATCGTCAACAAGCGCTCTAATTCGGATATCTGCATCCATGCTTTCGTCTTCCAAATGGATGCTGAAAAAACTAAGCCCAGTCAAGTGTTAATGGATTAAACTACTTTATTCATTGGGTTGCAGGGAAGGTAAGGTCATGTACTTCTTCTTTCGATTTGTCTTGTGTATGTGTCTTATACATACTTTAAAAATCTCAATTCTCATTCTCGATTGTTTCATAAATTGCCCTCTATTGTTTTCTTTCCTAGAGCTATTCTGAAATTAATGTCTCCCTTCTCGTTTCACCTTTTTTTGTTCTCCTCCTTACCCATGGTTTGTTCCATAAGATGCTCTCGAATCATCTCCATAGGTTTCAATAGCGTTCTTAGTTGCTAGTGTTGGAGTGGAGTTTGAGAAGAAACGCTGTAGATTCTTTATGGGACTTACGATTGTTTCAGCGTAGAGTGGCCAATTCAAGAAGCCATGCCTTGTAGCTACTTTTCAGTTCGAGTGTGCAGTTTATCATTGTTATTTTGGCGGAAGGAATATTGCAATCCCAAATGATCTGTTGTTTCCATTGAGCAGATAAAACGAAGTGGATTGTTGTAATTATGATTATGTAATAGTTACGAGTTATTTAGAGCCGTCACATATTTTGTTGAGTCACTGTTGTTAAACATTCATTGACGCCATTCTTAATTACTTTGATGATGAAGCTCTTCATAGTGTGAGGGACTTTGATATTTCTTCTTTCGGTGCGTTAACAGGATCACCCTTCTAAATGTGCATTTCACTTGCTCATGATGATTCTTAGATTCTCTCTGGTCCACATTACTACAGTCTCCCTCGTTTCCTTAATTCCTCTCCTGAAAAACCTCTGGAAAGAAGCAGTGGGTCGAATTTCTGATAGCTGAACCTAGTTCGATCTCTTTTTGAAGTCTTCAATTCGATTATATTGTAGCAAATGTCTGTTTTTCCATCACGCCAACGTATATCCATATCTTTATTGGGAAAAATTGCTTTATGGTCATTATACCAACTGATCAGAAATTAATGGTAATACACAACTTTGCTGATACCAGCGATACAAAAATGTTAGCACAGTCGTCTATACAAAGTAAGCGATCGCAAAATTACAGTACCGGAGAAAAGGGCAATAAAAAATGAACAAACACAAATATGAGGAATAATAGCAGTTGGAATGATACCAAGACTTTTCACATTGGAAAGAATCTTACTGACAGATCCGATGCATTTTGGGTGTTTTGGTCAACTGGTGCACGCATTACTTGTCTTCGAGATTGAAGTGTTCTTCGTAAAATCAAACTCTTGCGTTGTTGCTTGTTTGAAGATATCCAGCACATCCTGCAATATACTAAGTGTTGAATATTCTATTGTTCAGATTGAAGAGTAAAGAAGGCTTTCGCCGCGCCCGGCTGTTTCGTTCATAACGCTCTACACCCCTGGGTTACTATATAGCAATGTGATTGACTCTATAGCGACAGCATACTTCGTTACTAGCATAGAGACTCTCACGAAAGTTTAATTGTAGGGCGACACATATGAATTCATGCTCTGATTACAACTGCGGAACGTTTACCATGAATGCGCTCACTGCTAGTTTGCACCCATTTCTTGGAAGGCAATTACTAACGAATAACGATACCGTTCCCACGCTGCCATATGGGACCCTGGCAGTAATATGTAGAAAACCCATTTCCAAGGCTTACTGATACGCCTTCAGACATGTGGAAACTCAGCAAACCTGATGAAACCAGTCGAAGCCCGAGCTAGTACCGGCTTAACTACTCCCTTTGACATCATCGGAATCATGGCTGTCCCCCCGTTTTTATTGTGCGCAACCTTATTCAACGTTTCCGTTCCCCTTGTTCATTCTAATGATCATCACACAAAGTTTAAATCAAGAACGGACAGACTTTTATGTGCCTGCAAACGCTCGATCACTATACATTTGAAATTTATTGCTGTCACTCCTCAAAGGGTGAGCCAATAAAAGCTCTTGATTAAGCATTATTGAAGTTTCCAGAGAAATGTAAGGAAGAGAGGGGTAGTTGAAGACACGGTTCACAACAGAAATGGCTTCTGAGATTCCTCATTAGGATGATTCTGTGACCTCCGGATAGCACAGGGGACTCTGTTCAGCCGAAGAACAGCCTAGATAGAGCGTAAATTGATCCCAAACGCTTTAGCTAACGTATACAGCCAAGTCAGAGGAGTTGCTGTTAGAGCTGTAGAGATAACACAACTTGCACGTAGGCTACATACAATATTGCTATTAATTCATGGTCAACCGTCGCTTCCCAATACCTTCAGCTAAAGTGCTCCAATCAAGCTAAAAGTAAGGTTGTTGGAAAGCAATTCTCGTGAAGAATCCAAATGTATAATAATCTTCAGTTTTCTCGGATTTTTCGCTTCCCTTTCCGGGAAAAGCGGAAATTGAGTCTCTTAGCACCTGGGATGTTACATATGGATATGACAGCATCGTAAACCCTCCACTTCAATTGAGAACTTCGTTTCGAATTCTCAGAAGGCCTGCATCGTGCTATAATTGAAGAGAGCATACAATCTTCATTATTTCGATATCCTTCATGACATAATTTGAACAATTTCAGCTAAAAGCAGCGGTGCAAAGCAAATCACCAGATTTTTAGACATTTGTTATATCTTTCAGCCACGTATTTTGTATGACGACCTTATGATTGCTAGTGGAGAATCCCGCCATGTCATGAATATTCCATTTCTTCAGTTTTGGAGGTCGATGAATGAGCTTTTATTACCTACGATGCTTCCTGCAGATATAACATAACCTTAAACTACCCACCTCAATAGAAAACCTCACTCTGAGTTTTTTAAGGGCATTTGGAATATGGAAACATGAAATCATGGTTATTTGTCCCATATATATGTGATATCCGAATGATAGAATTCAGAAAAATCCAGCTAAAAACAGTAAAACAGTTTCAACGATCACTTTCTCAAGAATTTGCTAGTTCATTTCAGAAGTGCACTTCCTCGGGAACGAACGATTAACTTAAAGGCTTCCATCATGTGATCTGATATTCTGATAGTAGATGGATGATTGGCCTCCTAATCTAGCGTTGAGCTGATTGACCCCTCACCATCGATCTCTCTTGGCCCTCGCCTTCGCTATTGCCGAATCCATTCAAGAGCATGCCTGTTGACACACACTGGTATGAGGAATGAGCTGACAGAATGATATGGCCGTGTTATGATGAATACTGTTTCACTGTGAATATGATGTGTTGTGTTTTCACTGTGCATATGTTGTTTCACTATTACTCCCTTCCCATTTGACGGAAACTATGTGGCACTGACACTAAACACCGGCCAAATGAGCACAGAGACGCACACACGGCATACCAGCACATTTGCAAGCACTGTGTACGACTGAGGACCCGAACCCATATGGAATCCAGGTCAGGTGCAAACATGAAACAGATGCACTCCCGCTGCGCCATTGGCCGACTCAACGAGAGATTATTGCAATTGACCATTTACTAGGGGTTTAGGCTGGCTGCGGTAACAGTAGAAGGCCGATCGATTTTTAACAAGTCAGGTCACGTTGCGATATTGAGGATTCTATGCTTTCTTCACGATGCACGATGCAGGCCTTTTTTAAGAATTGGAAACGAAGTTCGCAATTGAAGTGGAGGGTTTACGATGCTGTCATATCCGCAAGTAACACCCCAGGTGCTGAGAGACTCAATTTCCGTTTCTCCCGGAAAGGAAGGCTATAAATTCGAGAAAACCGGAAGATTATCATACATTTGGGTTTTCCACGAGAATTGCTTTCCAATGACCTTACTTTTAGTTTGATTGGAGCACTTTTGCTGAAGTTATGGTCAAGCGACGGTTTGCGACGGATTAATCCGTTGACCATGAATTAGTAGCAGTATTGCACTTATTGTAGCCAGCAGTGTGCGATGGATCTGACAATTGGACAACGTCCAAATACCCCTTCCATACAACTTTATCGCCTCATTTTCAATCCCTAATCTCACTGCTTTTTTGCAGCCACATATTGCTCAGAATACACTGATTCGTTCGTTCGTGATTCGTTTTTGATTTTCGCGTTTTCGTCGCTATTATTGATTGAGCTACTTTGGACTACAAGTTCCATCAATCGTCTCAGACTAGACGTCCCTATGTCATGGTGAACCGTGCCTTGAGTGGGCCGATAATAAAGCCACAAACTTTGTAGAAAGTGAACGTTCCTCACAAACCTATCGTACAGATCCACGATATGAACTGGTTTCCTGAATAGACACTGCTATGCTGTTGTCGAAAGTTCGATGAGTGTTTGGATTCTTTGATGTTTCTATCAGGTTCAATATCACGTGCCACTGAAGTAGTAGAGCTCCTCGTGAGTACGCTGATGGTTTCGTCTTGTTTTTCTTCTTCAGGTTGAGTAGTAGCTCCTCCTTCGACCAGGAATGTCGTCTTTCCATCAGTTACGCGTTTTAACAAGGATTTCGACGAAAATGGGACATCTGTTTGCTTCCGAGTAGAGACATAAACATCGCCATGAATTCTTCGAATTTCCTCCAACCCCTTTAGAACAAAGTTTTCGTTGGCAGCCACTTTCAAGCTCGGTTCTGAAATAATCATCATAAAACACTTACGCTACTTTTACATAACTTCTGCACCTAGCAAACGTAGCTCACGTTCGGGCCTGGAGTTGCTGATATCTTCAAGGTTACTCAAGAATGAAAGATCCTTTATAGCCGTGTTACCCTCTACAAATAGGCTTCCTCGTATGATGGTGACTTCTTTTAATTTTCCCAATCCTTTTGGTTTCTCTGAACTATGCGTTTAGTATAAACAGCCTTTCCTTCATTATTTTTTATTTATTATTATTATTATTATTATTTTTATTATTATTATTTTTTTATTTTATTTTATTATTATTATTTACATTATTTTTTCTTACTTGAATCAAACCTTCCTCCTGCACTTGTCGAAGTTCTGAATCAAAAAAAGCGTAGGAGAATACTGACCTCTCAATGAACGAAGAATGAGATCGCCGACAATAACGAAACAGAAATCACTCAACTTTGCGAGATATTGCTCATTGACTTCTCCACCTTTACACACGTCATCTTGAAAAACAATGAATATGATACTTAAGCTTCATCCCTTATTCATTAACCTCGCCGGCTAACGTTTACGCGAATTAGTAATGGACAAATATTCCGGGAGTATAAATATAACTTAGCATAATTTCGCACATCTCAAGGTGCGATGTATGGTTTTAGAAGCTGATTAGGTAAAAAGGTCCAATAGATTCTACAAATAGTAATGGGGCTAAACTGGTGGGCTAGAGTTTCAAGCTCGTCAAATCGATTCAATAACTTTGCTACGGTTGGGATGCAGTGCTCATTCCTCGGGCAAGAACCTCCTTGGTTGTAGTCACGGCAGTGCATCACGTGACAGCAAATTCAGACGTTCATTCCCCACCTTTGAGGTCTAAAATCTTTGAGCGATAATCAATCCCGTCTGAGGGATGCGCCCATGCATTCGACTTCCATTCGGAATCGTAGTGGCGTAATGAATGGCTTCTACGATGACTTGCAGTGACCGGATGCTTAAGTCAGTGCTTTTATCACCCCAGACGAGTCTTTTACCCATTAATCGACCTCGGAGATATGGAAGACTCGGATGACCTAGGTGGAAATCGTTCGGAGATTCGAATCCGTGACCTGGGGCCGTAAGGTATGCTCCCCCGAACAGGGGAAGGTCCCCTTCCCGGTAAGGTGTGCTCTCGGGAAGAACTTTCGGGAAGAAGCCACGCCCACTGGTTCAAGGGGAGAACTTCCCGAAGAACGCGCGATCGGGGCTAGCCGGGACTACCGTCATCCCGTGACCATAGAGTGCGGAATTGTCTATAGGGCGCGCAATTCTTCTACGGCTTGCACGTTGTTTCAACCACCTTTTGAACATTCCTTGGTTTTCATGCCTTAAACGGTTTCATTTGTACTTATTGTTCTCACACGATATTATATTATGCTCAACCATGAATTTTGTCTGTGATATTGGTGTCGTTTCGCAATCTCGTTGATGTCACTTAGTAGGCCAGTTGTAGAGTACCGATGTTCTTTTTCAGAACGTTTTTTGGCACTATTGCATTATTGCAACTCCAGTGGGGGTGAAATGGGTCTAAAAATATTTTTCGCTGAAAATTTCCCTATGAGGGTTATCGAGTGTCCTGATTAGGAACATGCCATCCATTGTTGGCGCTTGCCAGGTGGCGCTTCGACTGCTTCTCACCAAGTTCGCTGCAAACTTGTGTAAAGTTATTTGGGGTCTGATTACAATTATGACACTCGTTTTTGACATTCGTGCTGTTCAACGCATATTTTCTGCTCGTCTGCGCCCTTGCACTGACTGATCAATAGCTGATCAGATCGGTGGTGGTGCGAGCGGCGGGAGATTTACCAAGCCAACCACCGACAACTCGGCGCCATCAGTCGTAAATCGCTTGCCGCTCGCACTGCGCGATTCCGATGCGAGCCGCGATGGTCGCGCGAATAACATCACTCCCATCTTGCCCAAACCGGTCCAATCGCAGTCTGACAGCAGCCAATCAGGACTGAGCCCTTGGGTATTGGACGGCTCCTGGTGAGTGAGCTATTCACCCTGTCGCGAATGGCGGACGGCGCAGACGATTACAGAGAACGGCACCTGGCGCGCCTCCGAACCGCAAGGAGGAAGGTGGGAGCCCTAAGGCCGAGGAGGAAGTCTTAGATGGAGTTATTTACACTGAGGCAGTAGTTTGAATATGTGAATCACAATGGTCATCAGCCACCGATTATGAGAGAGAGCGCAGACGAGAGCGTGGACTGAGGCAATTGAAAGGCAGAGTTCAAGTAGCCCGTCAACCTAAGCGACTAGATACGCAAAAAAGGCCACGTTAAGATAACGCAGAAGAGGAGGTTGAAAAACTTCTAACTTCTACAGACTTTTTGGCTCAGGCTACCGGGATAGGGTCTCATCCGGTAAGGGGGGGGGGGCATTGTGATGCAACGACACGTGACTGCCTAACCCCCATCCCCCCCAGGCTGCCTGCACTCCCCTTGGCTCAAGGGGTCCCGTACATCAAGAAACCTGTACGGCAGTGGGAGCGTAGGCAGTTTAGGGGGGTGGGTGGTGAGGGCAGCCACTTGATGCCCCTCTTACCGGATGAGACCCCCAGGATATTTTACTCCTAGATATTATGTTATCTTAGACTTAAATCTTGATTTTGGGAGCTTTTCAAGCCTAAATACAAGATTTGGCAACTTGCCAACGTTTAAGCGCCATCGCCGCTTTGTATGTCTGACTCCCCTAAGACGCCCCGCGAGCATGTCTTACGGCTGCTTTCGGGGACGCCATTCTCGAGGAGACCCGAATCGGGGCGTCCCAGCCCCGAACAGGAGAGCATACCTTACGGCCCCTGTATATACGAAGTGAACTGCGCCACTTGCCACTACACCAATTTCGCCCTAGTTTCAATCATTACCATAGGAATAATACCAGTCTGGCGATTTAGGATAAATAAAAGATCTTGTGTGCTATTTCGGCAGCTACAAACGAAACCATGAAATGAGATCTTCCATGTAGTCCCCAGCCATGAAGATTTGATGCTTTCAAATCTAGTATTAAGAGAGAGTACTTCTGAGGAAAAAGAAGAGCTAAGTCGCTGCATGACGAGTCGTTACTATTGACGTGATGGCCAAACCTCTCTGCGTTGCAGGAGCAGCATGCCCCATTTAAAGGCCCAGTTCACAACAATTTTGGGTAATCCAGATTATGACGAAAAACCGAAGGTGGAAAACAGTGCGATGAAGGCGAAGAAACTGGAAACAGGTTAACAAAAAACCGTAGTAACAGCAAAAGAAGCCCACCTTTTTCGGCTTCTTGTGGTATTAAATCAAATAAGAGATGGCAGCAACAAAAAGAATAACTGAGAATAAAGGGATAGCAGAAAAAATCGCCTTATTACTCGGCGATCAGCTGATTGTGTGTGGGTTCTAGAACGAATATTGCTATCTGTATCGCCCCAGCACTCGTGTGACGTGACATCAATCGAATTTCGGGAAGTCTGGGCGATCTCGCGATGGGGCTCCCACTATGCCCTAGCTGTTGAATTTTGAGAATCGACAGCGTCCTTACTGTTATCCTTGGGGGCCACTGGGTATCCCTGGGGGAGAACTCAGGGACCGTTTTTATCGTGAACTGTGCCTTTAAAAAAAGCTCGTGAGAAAAGAAGAAACCTTTCATGGATATAAGAATCAGCATGCTCCCACGAACTCTGTTATAAGCTTGACTGAACCAAACCAATAGTCTTAGAATACGAACCCCTTCAATGATGAAACCGCAAACTTACCGGCCCCCACTTCTTCGACCTCATTTTGTTGAAGTACACACCTCTGTTACAAGTTTCTATCAATTATGATAACAGACAAGGAGATTTCAAAAAAATTAATTATACATATGAAAGCTTGCTTCAATGATGAGGCAAAAATCAAGAACATTCCATAGAAACTAGACATCTGAGTTAATGATCAATTTATAAATGTAGTATTCTTACTTGAAAACAACACTCGACCCTGGGTTATTTCTTTGAGACGCTTCCTGGTCTCATGCGGTACGTCTGATTCTTTCATGGTATAAATGAGCACATCGCCACGAATTCTCTTCAGTGCATTCAATCCTTCAGCTTTGAACTTCCTGTTTCCACCCACCAAAATGGCCGCGCTGCCTGAAAATCTGGCATAGTTTCTACGAGGAAACTATCTAGCACCAAATGATGGTTATTCACGATTCCAGTTTCCATTGTTTCGTGGTAGTAATTAAGAAATATCTATTTCACTTTGATAACTCGTTTAATTACGGCCTATATTGAATTTGTTTAAAAGGGCTGGGCAGTGAAGCGTATTGTAAGTTGGATGCCTTCCGAACATGACCGACCAGCTCCGTACCTGTGATGCAAATATGAGGCATGGCAGACTGGGACGCTCGAGTTTCTTTCGTCAAACAAAACTGAGAGATAAAATCTCTGCTATCGGACCATCTTTCTTTCCAACATTCCAACTTCTTCAGACCATTCCCTCGGCTGATGAGGAACTTGACTACTCTAATCTCTTCTAGCGATTTCAGCGAGAAAGAAAGTTTCGAAAAGTAACCTAAGGCTCAAACCTTTAGAAAAGACGTGAACTCATGCTTTCCACAGTCCCTTTTGTTGACGGTGTTGATTCCGGAAGTAGCGAAAAAAACATTAATAGTGCGACACCTTATGCAGAAGACGATATCTTGACTGCGACTTGATTTACTACGGAAGAACATTATTGGTAGCTGGGCTTGTTATGGAATGTTGTCATGGTCGGTGGAACGCAAAAGTTTCTGTAGAAAGTGACGATATATGCGAGTTTGTGCCTCAAAACTTTTGCATCAGGTCAGTAGTAAACATGTACTGCATCTATCGCAACATTCTTCGAGGAATGAGTTATTCTTCAATAGAAGTTTCGTCATACTTATCTGAATCATCATAGCTGTATTGAGATTTAAACTTATCTGTGTCATGAGAAAAAAATAGAAAAATCGGTGATGAGCGTTCGCCTGTTGATGTTGTTCTTAAAAATACACTAACCAATGATTGAAGTACGTTTGTGCCGTACGACGCTGTTAGTTGGAACAATTTACTCAATCGACGGCCTAACGCAATCGTCTTCATCGGAGGCCAGGGTTCCACCGCTTGGGTGGATTTTCTCCGCGGATTAAATGAGTTGTTCCACCTAACAACCTCGTACGGCACAAAAGTATTTTAACCATGAACAACTGTTGCCGAGATTAAAGCAAGATAGAAATTGGAGACACCAATCAATATTTTTCAGAAGGACACATGTCGGCCTTATCACCCATTAACTACAGTAATATTTACTGAACAATTCTGCATTTACTACGATGCTTACCTTCTTTATCAGTTGCTTCAATCTCCTCTAAATTTGGCAAGAAAGAGAAATCGGGAACTCCGTAGTTTTTGCTCACATAAAGACGTCCACTGATTTTCACAATCTGGGCTAGCTTCCCTATGTTTGGCGGCAAACCTGAAATATTTTCGCTGGTTCATGCATAGACTTAATTTGAGCACTGTTTTTGTTTGAAACTATTCAAGTGTGCACCAGACTGTTCTCATTGCACGAAATATCGGTAATAAACAGCATCCTACTTCAATTTTGCATGCTTTTGTAAGGAAAAGGTTTTGCAGAAAACTAAAGTAAGCATTATATATACATGTATATCGGATGTTGTTTCTATGAATCACATCATATGGGACTACCGAGTAAGAAAGCTTGGGCTCCTGCGCATCCGCACAAGTGTGCGTATTCCTTCAAACAGTTTGGTTGGGATGAGTGCTCGCCTTTCACAGCAACGAAGTGGCCGATCTCCCAGTCTTTACCGTGGATACTGCCGAGTAGGCGAAGTTCTGGGAAATTTTTGACTGAGCGGTTCATGTGAACCAAACTTTTCCATTTACAGTCAAATTCCACTTTCTCAGAACTTCACTGAATAGCGATTCATTATCCATGGCAGCAGGCAGAAATCAGCACAACAGCAGCACATTTGTTGTTACAACATTACGGGATACCTACTCCCGTCCAGAATTCCTGGGTGTCCAACTAAGCAGCAGTGTACAACTAAAATCAGCTCTTGCGGTTTCTACTTCTGCGCTCAGCCAAAATGTTATTTAAACGCAGGTCAAGTCGTTATGGCTCCAACTCGAGGGACATAGAGACAATGGCGACAATATCTACGTGATGAGAATTATACGCAAACATTTCCGTGCAACGTAGAGCGCGTAGGAGATATCCAGGCGCAGGAGTCTTCCTCGTGAAGGGTTCGTCGTTTCTGAGGCATCGGATCAAGTAATCCGGACATTCGAGATACTCGAAGACACCACGTCAGTCAGGAAGCTTCTGTATGACAAGCACCTGCAATAGCATTCGGCCCTCGAACATATCGAGATGGAGATATATCCTTCTCTTGAGAATCTTCATCCTTTTGCTTTGTAAGGTTCACACCCAAGTTCCCCATACCCTCGCTCCAGGAGATTTCACTCACGCGATTTTTCCAAAAGTTTGAGGGCACAGAACCTCTGAAGTCAAGGTATATGGGGGACCTGTGGACTGCGAGGACAAAGGCTTCCACTCCGATACAAACGTCCATTGCTTATTGTTAGTCGCGCATAGAGGCGATCGGTGATCGTCTCATGGCAGTCACAGTAACAACATCAAGCTGGCAGATGGGTTAGTTGTGTTTCTGCTAGATAGCGGAGTGTAGCACAACTTTATCAAGATTTGGTTTACAGCTTGACCCGCATCCGCGTTGCTACGCAAAGCTCTACAGGTCCAACGACAACGGTCTCATATCTGGAGCAGGTAGTATTACGAGGTCGAAGGAATGACGAACCTTGCCTCTCGTTTCGAAGACGCAGAGCTGCTACGACTTTATGTATATTTTGGAGAGTAAAATCAGCTTGCAATACCATTCCATTAACCCGATCATCATAGAAGCCGTCGATATTGACGTGCACATGGGACTGATCGCTATTATAAAATTGTCGAGCTGCTTAGGGCCTGACGAGCCGTTTATAGGAGATTCGGTATGTTACCCAATCAAAATACCGGTACAACACAGCCTGCATAAGGGTGGAAAGCGTGGAGCCTATACTGTGACGCGTATCAGAAGCAGGAGGTAACAGGTATCATTAAGAATGTGAAGGAGTTTCGCTTCGACGAACCACCAGCATATCATGTGCCTCATCAGGCAGTTCAAAAGGGGAGAGTGTCACTACTGTAGTGAGAATCGTCTTTGCAGCTCTCAGTCACCAGAAGGACCACCGAGTGTAAATGACTGCCAGCATAAAGGGCCCACCTTATTACCAGACCTAACAGGTGCGCTGCTCTGCTCTAGAAAAGCACGTATCCCCATTAATAGTGATAAGAAGACTTCATCAGATACGTCTTCTGAAAAGTCTCTGTTTCTGTGGCTTCACACCTACCTACTATCGCCTAATTGCAAATTTCCGGTTCACGCATGTTGCGCGGGGAGTCTTGTCACCACTTATGTATATAATGTTCTCATCGGTGCGAACAGCAATGAATAGCGAGTCGAGGACTAAAAGTAGTGCAAGCACATCTTTAACCGCATGGCATTAATTCCAGAAGTTTATGCTCAACAATCCACCTATATACCACAATCGACTTTCTCTTAACCTTCTATGACTTTTGACTGATATTTATTTACATTTGTTTCAGCCTTTCCAAGATTTTATACTTTATAGGGCTGACGTTTCGGCGAGTTCGCCTTCTTCAGAGCCTAAAAAATCGAAAAACCATTGAGACTGACACAATATTAAGGCGAGATAAACCCAAGACAGTTCTTTAGACTAGAGACCCCTCGAACCCAGTATAAAAGAGGCTTACCTTGATCTAAATCGCCGAACCCAGTATACAAGAGGCTCACCTTGATCTGAATCGCCGAAGCGTTAGATATACCACCCAGTGTTTTTAGTAAGCGCACAATGAGCAAGCCTTCCTCCTTTCTGACCTCACCGTAACTCAAAATTCGCAGAGCTCGAGAAAGGGCGCGAGGTCACGGGTTAGGCTACGTTCAGCTTCACTCGTGCATACACTTGTTGCTGTTCTCAGCATATTGCTGACGACTGCATGTTTGACGGCTTGTGGATGAGCTGATGTAGCGTGAAGTAAGATATTCTTAGAACTAGTTTTACGGTACCACTTCACACTAACAACACCACTGGATACTTTGACCTGAATTCTCGGGTGAGTTTAATGTACTGCGACTGTTCATTCAAGATACGAAAACACTCGTCCAGTCACGAAACCCATCCCACCACGGTCCACCATGACAGAAGCCACGAAGCACGGGGTAGTGGTAATTTGGCACGGGTCACGGTTCTTGGAAACACTCATCTCCCCTCTAATGCATTGGACGTGTTGAATTTGGGTCCGTCTTTCGCACCTGCGCAAAACGTAAATGCACATACGTTCCGTAAAGTTGTCGGAGGTCTTCAGAGGCTCAGAGATCTACTGCGTACCAAGAGCAGACGGGATCATGAGTTGCAAAGTTCTTAACCTAATCGAAACTCGTTCACGTTTGTGCCATTCCCGCGTAATTTTTATAAGGAACCCCAACCAGTGCCCGAGGCTGACGTTAAGTTCAAAATGTTATCCGCGGGAGTCCCAACTGTTCTGAACCAGAACAGAAGGCCTCGAAATACAAACTTAACGTACAAGCAAAGGCAGGGGTTGAAAGAATTGCGCGAGTTAAGATCGAATGGAACGCTTCGCATATCGGTTAGTGATAAAGGTGGTGAGTTCGTTGTTATGTCTCAAACACTTGACCGAGCCATAACCGAACTTCATCTCAGCGACTCCTCTGTTTACCGTCGCGTGACTGAGAAAGTCTTTTCATCACAGTGTAATCGCCTCAATCATATATGGTTGAGTGTCGCAAAGTCTTCGGGTATTGATGAAAAGTTGGTCGGTAGACTCAAAATGGATGGTCCAAACTGTCCAGTTTTCTATAGCCTCATAAAGACCCACAAACTCTCCTCCAACGAAGCGCTGTCTACATCACCGGATACATTTAAAATTCGACCNAACACCTAGCTAGTATGAGGCGTGGCAGCCTGATAGCGTCGCTTGGTAGGCATAAAACTGAGGAGCATAACGGCAACAATTTCGAAGTTAAGTGCACGATATTAGCGCAGGAGACGGAGATTTCAGCGAGAAAGGCATTAGAGGCATTCTGGATTTTCCAAAGAAATCCTAAAATGAATGCTAGAGATGAGTGCCCGTCCATAACCAACGAGCTTTTGCCATATATACCGCACTGCGACTTGTGACTCAGTAGCATTATAACGTGATCTTCCTTATCACAAGTATCAGGGAGACAGCCAATAAGTCTCACTCGCTACTGACAGTCGCTTGTGGCGACAGCGGATTTTATATCCGCTGTCGCCACAACGGTGGAACCTTGGTGAGTTATGTTTCAAATTATGGGTTTTGAATTCGCCGTAACATTCGTCAGGGGGTAATGCGGTTTTCGGATACTGTGCAAATGTCTCGAGTAGCTTTAGGCCTCTGAAGACGACGAGGACGTCGAAACATTAGGCCGTTAATTAATAAACTGTTTCACCTAACAACCTCGCACGGCACAAGAATATTATAATCATAAACAACTATGCCGAGGTTAAAACAAGAGAGAAGCTGGAGACTATTTCTTGGGAATATTTCCACAACCATAACCTCTTCCTTCAGATCACACCTAGTCACACATGCACGAATTGCTCTGCTCATCTCGTCGGAAATGAACGGTAGGCAAAACGTCACCTTATTGACCGGTGCTCGTTCATAAATACTACGAGGTGGGAAATGCTCCCCACGTTGTGACCCCTTGCAGCGGTAAGGATACCCATTAGAGACCGCAATCCCTCGAGCTGTGTCCAGCGATTCTGTCTTGAGATCCGTATCAGAGGAGACTTTACTGGCAACTCTGAACATATTGCTGATGGCAGAATGTTTTGTTCTTATGGGATGAGCCGAGCGGTAATGATAAGAACATTCTCACAGCTAGGCTTCCTGTACCATTTGGTCCGTGTCCGTACTGTTCCCCTCGCTAACTGAACCCTCGATGTTAAGGGATGGTAACCAGTTCTCTCTAGACCTTTACCGTGTGAACTTAATTTGATCTGCCCGATTGTTAAGGATGTCAAAGCATATGTCCATCTCATCTTGGGTGGCACATATGGCAGTCGTCAATATAGCGACTATAGGGAACTGGTCTGCGGTCTAGAATAGGTTTCTCAATTTTTGACATATATGTTATTGCCAGCACAGGTGCCAGCTGTTGGCCATAGCCAAACCCCTCATTTGTATATAGTAGTCACCCGACCACCTGAAAAACGAGCAAAACAAGCACTCTTTTGGGACGGTCATGATGTTTGTGACAGAGAAACCGTACAAAGTGAGAGAGTTTTTGTGATCACTCAGCAATTCGAATGTTGCCTCCAAGGCAGCTTCATTCGATACATTTGTATACAAAGACGTAGCATCGAATGATTCAATCACAACGTTCTCTTAGAGGTCTGCATTCATTAGTTTCTCGAGGGCATTTTCGTATTTGTCAGGTGGGCAGATATGTATTGAAGGATTTGTCAGACTATAGTATTGAAAACCATGAAATTTTATCTGTGGGTCCCCCGACGCTGCTGATAATGGGTCTAACCTCGAACACTGTTGGGTCGTTAGAGCTCAAGTCTGCAGCGGTAAGCTTATGAGTTTTGATAAGGGTATACAGTACAGGACACAGCGGCAGATCACTCTTCAGGCGATTGATCGTAGAGTTCTGTAGACCGGCGACCTTCGCCACGCTACACCGGACCTTGTTCAGTTTTCTGTACTGTTTGGTATACTCTTTTTCTATTGATCTGCAATAGTGTTGTGTCCTGTAGATGTAAATGTGTTATAGCCTTATCAAGAACCTGTGGATAACCACGAACTCCCCCCCCCCCTTTATCACTGACAGACAAGCGTATCTCCCGGTCTCTATTCGATTCCGTAATTCTTTGAAGCCTTGCTTTTGTGAAGGGGTTAGGTTGAAACCAGGACGTCTGTCCGCGAACTGCCGTACTACTCTGTAGACAGATGTAGCAAGAAGACGGAATTTAGAGTCTACAACAGCATGCGGCTCTTGAGGTTTGTAATATGCGCATGGAAAAGGTAGAGTAGGGAAAACTCTGTTCCCTTGGACTTCAGCGCCAGCCTCCCGCACTATGCTGTTTGCTCTACATCTGAGCGGGTCCTGGAGGGTCAGTAGGCTGCCCACGATCTCACGTGCGACCAGAGGAGTAATTGATTGAGTAGGTGCAAAACTAGGACCAAGTTCCAACAACGATAGCGCTTCTTCAGGTGAGTGATACCGCCTAAAACCGTGACTCGAGAGTTGGATAGGTGCTCCGCCCTACTTGAATTACGGTGGCCCTCATTGTTGTGATAATCGGTAGGCAC